TGTACTCGTATGATATTCCACGATGATGACCCTATGTTTAAGATATTCATTTGCTTTTCCTAATGATAATGATTTTAATATTTAGACAGACATTATGTACATTAATATGCACACACGCTCATATAAATATCTAAACATACACATATATGTATGAATACATGTATGTATATGAATGGTAAAACACCCTTCCGTGTTGATACTATGGTAGAAAAGCCCACAATGCAAAATCTAGATTTATTTAAAGTGAGACTACAGTTTCGAAATCCACCTGGATTCCATCCTGATGACTTAAGGATGGAAGCCAGGTGGATTTCGAAACTGCAGTCTCACTTATGAAAAATCTAGTTTTTTTTTCCATATATACATATATTAATATATATATATATAGACATATATTTATGTATGTTTATAGTTGCAAACACAAATATATACACACATATACATATGTGTATATTTATATATACACAATATATATACATATATATATATATTCATATATGAGTGTATGTGTATGTATAAACTTATATGCATGTATATCAAATATATTATGCATAACATATACATATATACCTGTGTATATACTCTTTTAGATATATAATATACATAACACACTTATATGTACATATATATACATGTATATATATATACATATACATGTCCTATATAAGTATACATATATGCTATATACGAATATATATACATGTATATATGATTATATATGCGCGTGTGTTTTATATGTATGTTTGTAGCTATATATGTTTATATATATTTATTTTCATATATGCTCTAGATACAGATGCATGTATTTATATATATGTATGCATGTAGGTATATGTATGTGTATATAGTGTGTGTATGTGCACATTAACTTTTACTATTAGAAAGAAAGAGGATCCTACAGGTATACACCATAAGAGTTTACAAAAAATAGTCATATGATTAATAGAACTATATGTTTAATAATTCGTGGTCTAGAATACAAAAGGCTCGCAGAAAAGATGATCCGCTGAAGAAACACTTAGAATCACCGAGAAGGACAGAGCATTAAATCCAAGAAAAATGCCTAAAATGAGTCACGTTAGTAAAAGCCGAAAGTAATTTTGATCTTGATAACGAAAGCAAAATAAACTATCAGCAGGATAACGAAAACAAAAGACGATCATAAAAAAGCCACCAAATTGAAGAACAATTAGATATGAGGATTAAAGTTCCCAGCAACATAAGTTGAAGAAGGAAAAATAACTGTAAGAGCAACAGAAACGGGACATCGGGATAACTCAAGCAGTCATGCGCAGGGAAAATCGAGATGGCATGCAAGATGCAAGAGTATGCATAAGCTCCTGCTCGTACAAGTTTCAAGCGCATTTCGTATGATTATTCCAAACTATACCCTTTAGAGGGGCATCCACATGAAAATCAATGCCTGCATTTCTGCTTAATTTTACCTTCAATGGTCTTGTTTCGTGGGTAGAGTCTCAATGTTATATAATTTTCTTAGCATTTCTCAGACTGAAAACTCATTCTAATTCGCTTTTCGTGTTCTTCCATACAATATAGCACTCCTTATCTTCCCGATGAACGTAAAGAGAAGGAGAGAAGGGGGTAAGGAGCAAGGAGAGGGAGAGTTACGAAGGAGGAGGGAGGGGAGAAGGGGGGAGGGGACAAATTAAGGGGGAGGTGGGGAGACTCAGACCGGCTATAAAAGCTGATGCGATGAAGAAGTGCGTCAGTTCGTCTTACAGTCTCATAGACACAACAACCACCGGCAACATGATGGGTCTTCGCACATTCGTGAGTTTTTCTTCCCATACTGTGCTGTATCTGTGTCTGGAACTTCGCTCAGTGTAAATATCACAGTCGTTTTCTTTCGAATCATATCATATCACATGCTATAAAGAGCTGTAGAAATACAATTACGGTATTATTTCACTTAGGACATCAATAAGCGGTCTACCATGCGTCAGTTTCGAATCGTGTATCCGATTCACACTCATGTCCGGCACCTTCGTTTCGGTTCAAGAGTCGAAATTACGGTTCATATGACCGAAAGTGGAGGACGCTGATAGGGAAGAGGCCGTGGAATGACCAGAAAACTTATTGCATCATGTGTGTTCCAATAATGTATCAATGTTTTAATCACTCACACATCTACGTCTCCTGCAGGTGAAGGTGGCAGCCTTGATGGCGGTGGCGTGCGTCGTGACGGCTGATCCCGAACCTGTTCCTGGCGGAGGCTACGGCGGTGGCTTCGGCGGTGGAAGGCCGGGTGGATTCAGTGGAGGATTCGGGCGTCCAGGTGGATTTGGTGGATCTTCAGGCGGACACAGCGGATTCGGCGGAGCTTCATTCGGCGGAGGTTCATTCGGCGGAGGCTCATTCGGCGGAGGCTCATTCGGTGGAGGTTCATTCGGAGGACGCCCATCCTTCGGACACCAATCCTTCAGCCGCCCATCCTTCGGACACCAATCCTTCGGCCGCCCATCCTACGGCCGCCCATCCTACGGCTAGACATATGGCCGTTAGACAACGCAAGACACCGGAGGACCTTCACGCAAACAACACCAGAAAAATTCGTTTAAACTTTTGCAGCAATGTCAACAGAACACAATACACCTTTGCACACTATCCTGCGTGTTTTTGCATGCCCTGGCTCTCGTTGGCACTCCTAACTGGGATTGTCTAATCAGGCGACTGGCAAATAAATTGACATCGGATGTACTCGTATGATATTCCATGATGATGACCCTATATTCATTTGCTTTTCTTAATGTTAATGATTTTAATATTTAATCAGACATTATTTAAATATACATATATGTATGGATACATGTATGATTATGAATGGCAAAACACCCTTCCGTGTTGATACTATGGTAGAAAAACCAACAATGCAAAATCTAGAATTATTGACAGTTTCGAAATCCACCTGGATTCCATCCTGATGACTTAAGGATGGAAGCCAGGTGGATTTCGAAACTGTAGTCTCACTTTCAATAATTTAGTTTTTGCATTTTGGCTTTGTATGTATGTATTTACATTTATTTACAAGCATATACACACACGCACATATATATGTATATATATATTTACATATATATATATACATATATTTATGTATGTTTATAGTTAAAAACACATATGAAATATATATATACATATGTGTATATTTATATATACATAACATATATACATATTCATATATACGCATACGAGTATATGTGTATATATAAACTAATATACTTATATATATCATATATATTATAAATAACATATACATATATATCTGGGTGTATATACTCTTTTAGATATATATTACACATAACACACTTATATATATATATATATATACATGTAATACATATATACATATACATGTCCTATATTAGTATGCATATGTGCTATATATGATTATATATACATTAATATATATATGTGTGTGTGTGAGTGTGATTTATGTGTTTCTTTCCAGGTATATATGCTTAATTATTTATTTTCATATATGTTCTAGATATAGATGCATATATTTATAGGCACATACATACATACATATACATATGCATAAATATATACATGTATATATGTATGTATATGTGCATATATATTGTATATGTGCATATATATTGTATATGTGCACAATATTTTTTACTATTAGAAAGAAAGATGCTACAGGTGTACACCACAGGAGTTTACAAAAGTTGACAAGTTTTATGATTAATAGAATTAAATGTTTAATCATTCTTGGTCTAGAATATAAAAGGCCCGCAGAAAAGATGAGCCGCTGAAGAAACACTCAGAATCACCGAGGACCGAGCATTCAATCCAGGAACAAGGCCTAAAATGAGTCACGTCAATAGAAGCCGAAAGGAATTCTGAAATTGAAAACGAAAACAAAATTAACTAATAACAGGATAACAAAAACAAAAGACGACCATGAAAAAATAATAAATAAGAACAATTAGACATGAGGATTAAAGTTCCCAGCAACATAAGAGGAAAGGAGGAAAATAACTATAAAAGCGACAGAAACGGGAAATCGGGATAACTCAAGAAGTCATGCGCAGGGAAAATCGAGATGGCATATAAGATGCAAGAGGAGTGTGCAGTAGCTTCTGCTCGTACAAGTTTCAAGCGCCTTTCATATGCTTATTTTAACTATACCCTTTAGGGGGGCAACCACATTAAAAATAATGCCTGCATTTCTGCTCCGTTTTACCTTCAGTGGTCTCGTTTCACGGGTAGAGTTTCAAAATTTTCCTGAAATTCCTCATACTGAAAACTCATCCTAATTCGCTTTTCATAAGCTTCTATACAATATAGCACTATCTATCTTCCCGATAAACTTGAAGAGAAGAGAAGGAGGTAGCAAGGAGGAGGAGAGGGAGAGTTACGAAGGAGGAAAGAGGGAAGTCTAAGAGCAGGGGGGGGGGGAGAAGGGGAGGAGGGGACAAATTAAGGGGGAGGTGAGGAGACTCAGACCGCCTATAAAAGCTGTTGCGATGAAGAAGTGCGTCAGTTCGTCTTACAATCTCACAGACACAACAACCGCCGGCAACATGATGAGTCTTCACACATTCGTGAGTTTTCTTCCCATACTGTGCTGTATCTGTGGTTGGGACTTCGCTCAGTATTGTTAATAAGTCATTTTCTTTTGAATCATATCTTATCACATACTATAAAGAGCTGTAGAAATACATCTATGCTATTATTTCACGTGGGACATCAAGAAGCCGTCAGCCATGCGTCGGTGAACGGCCAGTTTTGAATCGTGTATCTGAATCACACTCATGCCCGGGACCTTCGTTTCGCTTCAAGAGTCGAAACTCGCGATTCATATAACCGAATGTGGAGGACGCTGATGGGGAAGAGACTGTGGAATGACCAGAGAACTTAATGCATCTTGTGTGCTTCGTTAATTAAATCAATGTTTTAATCACACACATCTGCGTCTCCTGCAGGTGAAGGTGGCAGCCGTGATGGCGGTGGCGTGCGTCGTGACGGCT